CTAGTAGCAGTAGTAGTAGTAGTTGTAGTAGTAGTAGTAGTCGTCGTCGTGGGAGTAGTAGTAGTGGAAGCAGTAGTGGTAGTAGTAGTAGTACTAGTACTAGTAGTAGTAGTAGTAGTAGTAGTAGTAGTAGTAGTAGTAGTAGTAGTAGTAGTAGTAGCAGTAGTAGTAGTAGTAGTAGTAGTGGCAGTAATATTAGTGGTTGTAGTAGTAGTAATCGTAGTAGTAATCGTAGTAGTAGTAGTAGTAGTAGTAGTAGTAGTAGTAGTACAGGCCGTCATGGGCGTCTTGAAGTGATCTTCGAGCGTGTGTGGTGTGAACTGGTTTGTCCGGCTGATCTGGTTGGTTGGCCTGGCTGCCTCGTGCGTCTTGGAAAAAAAAATTGCGTCTTTGGCTGGACTGGCTGGTCGGGTGGGTCAGCTTGGTCTAATTGGTTGGCCTGGCTACCTCGCGCGTTTTGGAATGATCCTTGAGTTTTTCTGCTGGCCTGGCAGGTCTGGTTGGTCTGGTTGGTTGCCCTGGCTGGCTCGGTTCGAACACGTAACGGCTCCATAAGAAAGGGCGTCGCACAAGATAACAAAAAGTATGTGGGGTTCCTCGGTAGTGTGATGTCTGGCTCTGGGGGCTCCGCCGCCCTGAGCCCTCTGGACTGCCTCACTTCGGGGCCAGGGCCGAGGGCACCCCACCAGCAGAAGGGCAGGACCAGTCAGCACCGGATCGGGGAGCCGGGTCGGATCAGAACGTGCGTCGGATCGGGCCGCATGGGCACGCAGTCGGGATCGGGGTCGACCGCACCAGGATGCCCAACAGGCTCCATGCAAGCACCTGTCCGCATCGAACTGTCGGGGTATCGGAATCGAGTCGGATCGGGCTGGCCAGAAACCCAGACGTGCGATGTCCTGACCTTTTTCTGTACGGGGTCCCCAGGGCTGGTTTCTCTTCCCGAGGCCTCTTACTGACGGTCTCAAGGCCCGGCGAGGGACCCCGGGGCCCTCCCAGCCGTTAACTAACAAAAACCTCCCGTTGCGATTTTCGCCAGGACGCGAGGATGTCTGGGAGTCGATCTCGCATCGCATCGGTCGGATCGACATGGATCCTGGGCAGCGGTCCCCCCCCCCCCCGACAGGGGGTCAGCGGCCCCCCCCCCTGGAAGCGGGCAGCTGCCCTGGGCCACGCGCCGAGGTCGCCGACGCTTCGGCACGGGGCAGAGTGTCCAGAACCCCGCTGCCGCCCGCATAACGTCGCCAGCGCACCACCGCCGCATCGGCGGCGCGGCGCGACCTTTCGGGACCCCAGCCTGCGACTCCAGATCGAGATGTCGAGGTGTGCGGGCGTTCTCGCCGGCGCCTCGGCGCTCCTGCGCCTCGCCACGACGGGCGGGCCTGGGGGGTGCCCCCGGAGCGCCCCGAACGGCCGCGGGAGGGCCGAGTTGTGACCCGAGAGCCAGGGAGCGACGTCCGGGGGGGCCCCGTGCGGGGAGCCTCCAACCAGGTCGGGTGCGCCGCAGAAGCGAGTGTTCCAGAAGCCGCCACCACCACCACCACCACCACCCCTGAGCCGAGCATCCAGAAGGACGCGTGGGCAGAAGAGCGCGCGATTGGCAACTCTTCGGGAAAAGACGAGAGGCGAGACGGAAAACGGAGCGCTTCACGACTGTGAAGCAGGAAAATGGGGCGCCCGACTGTGAAGCAGAAGAAGGCAGAAGCCCTGGGTCCACAAATGTTGACCTGGCTGTTCCTTTCATCCCCCACCACAACAGAGCTCCAAGTCGGCTCAATGAAGCGGGCCTGAAAGCCCTGAGCCTGCGGCATCAAGGGCGCAGCCGAGAATGTGCGAAACAGACTGCGGGAGGGAAGGAAAATAAGAAAAACTCCAACCAATTCAGGAACCGATCCCAAACCTAAAGATATTGACATGTCGTGAGGATGTGTTTATACTGCCGCCGGCATTACCCCGAGGGTGGAGGTTTTAGGTCGGCGATTCAGGGCAGCCCCGCATACTGCAGTGGGGTCGCACACAGCATGAGCATGTGCAGAGGCATCAGCGTCATCACATTCTAGAGTACTCCTCCTCTTCCTCCTCCTCCTCCTCCTCCTCCTCCTCCTCCTCCTCCTCCTCCTCCTCCTCCTCCTCATTATCATCCTCCTCCTTCTCCTCATCATCCTCCTCCTGGGGGGCCTCGATGGCCATGTACACGAAGGTGTTGATGAGAGCGAAGGAGTGTACCTGCGAACGGGAGGCACTGGCAGACAGGATGAGGAGGAGCATAAGGAGGAGGAGGAGGAGGAGGAGGAGGAGGAGGAGGAGGAGGGAGGTAGCGAGCGAGCGAGCGTGCCACGATGCAGTCGAATCAATAGCACCACACACCGAGTGGGGACAGCGGGAGGGTGGGCTGAGAAGCCAACCCTCCTGCAAGACTGGCACTGCGTGGCAGTGCAGAGGGGGCCCAAAGAGCAACCGTCAGGTTGACGGCCACAAGGCTCCCAGCACGAGCGCGCGGCCATTAAAATGATGGCCATGCACATGCATAGAGGGTGCGACACCCTAGTCAGAACTGTCTTCGTCACCGCGGGCAGCGACGGCGTAGCAGCGCGCCGCGGACCCGCGGGGACGGAGGGGCCAGGCACATCACCGAGCCCCCGCACACAAGGGCCGCAGGCGGCCGCAACAGGGCCCCCAAGAGGCCCAAGGACAGGCGGAGGGGGCACCTGCTGAGAGACATTTCCAGAGGGCTCAAGTCGCACACCTGTCCTGGGGTGCAGTCCCAGGGCATTCCGCAGCAGCCGAGCGCGTGTGGCCAGGGTGTTCTTATTCAGCGACACACCGCCACACTGGTGCTCTAATGTTTTGCAATGCCCGTCTGGCAAGACAACATAGGATGCACAGGCTGGACATATAACGACACGATCGTGCCTGACAGGCACGTGCCGAAAAACTTCAAAAACTTCCAACCCAGGCTGCCTGCACCCTTCGTGGACCACGGACCCCGCGGCCCCACAGGACCCACACGGCCCCAGGACGCTCGAAACAGAACCGCCACTGAAAGGTGCAGGCTGGCAAATGAAAGGGGTCGCCTCGGAGGGCAGCTGGGAAAAATCGTCAGCTCGCCACCTCTGCACATGCGTGGGTTGACGCCTCCCACTGGCCCCGCTGAGCAGCCCCTTGAGGGTCACATCGGTAGTGCCTGAGATGTTACACGCACGGCACCTCCACTCCGATCGCCCAAGGATACAAAACCAGATCATTATTGACAACTTGACGAGAGATTGTCTCGGCGCCCTCACTATGTGAACACACTATCTGGACAGCGCTCGACAGAAACCTCCATCTGAGCTTGCATTGCCTGGGATGCTGGCGCTCGGCGTCGACCGCAACTCGGGCATTCTGGTGCTCCTGAACCCCGAGCCTGGCAAAGAAATCAGCCCAGGAATTGCCGAGGAAATTTAAAGGCGGCTGATCCAGCACATCTTCAAGCGAACGGTGAGCCTTGACCCGCGCGAACGACAGCGGCGCCCCGCCAGAATGGCGCAACTGGACAATTCGGCGCCAGACGTCAGCGCGGGGGCTCTGGGCGCCGGCAAGGCCAGGGTGCCAGGTACGCCCTTCCTTAACAAAACTTCAACGGTCGCCGAAAATGGCCCCGAGCTGGGGAGCGACCTGCAACGCGTAAAAACCAACGCGCGCCTCGGCACGAGGCGCCGACCGGCGCCCAGGCAAGGGCCCGCACGCGGCCCCGACGGGGAAGCCCGAGTCCGACAGCTCGACGACAGCCCAGCCACACCTTCGGAGCTCAGGGCTCGCGTTCGCGGGCCCGGATCCGCTGGCGCACGGCCGACTGCCCCGCGGCAGGCGAGCTGCCCCCCAGTGGGGCACCGGACAAGCGGGCGGCGGGGGCGAAACCTTGCCGGGGCGATACGGCAAGCCACAGGCGAGCTCAAGCGCGCCCCAATCGGGTTCGCCAAGACCTTTGTCCCCGAGGCCTCTCAGACACTCCCTGCGCTCCGAAATCTCAGGATCCAACGGCTCAAGGTCGGGGTCTTTTGAGGGCCTCGAATAAACATCGCAATCAAAAACTGGCGCCCAAGGGCCCCTCGTGCCCCAGAGAAACACGGCTCGCAGGCCTCAGATTCACGATAACAAGCCATATTCTTCCTGGCAGGGGGCCACAGAGCAGACCGCAGGAGGCACCTGGCACCGCCTCTGCGGACGGGGCACTTCACGGCGAAGATCGCAGCCCGCAATGCTCGCCGCCATACCACCTTCAGAAAATTGTTGTCGCCTGGGATACGAATCAATATTCGAATCATATGCCACCGACCCGCGCCCTCACGCAGCATCATAAAAGCACGCGGCTGCGCAACCAAAGACATGACGTTGTCCCGAATCAAAGCCGCAATCAAACCCGCATACCTACAGACCAACCCAATCGTGCTGTCAAATATATGGTCGTAGAGCCCGTTCGCCTACGTGGCCAGCCACGCGGCGACGCTAGCACTCTGCCGCGCACCAACGAAGAGCCCAGCAAGACTTCGGAGTTCGGCAAACGCGGCGGGGCCGACCCCGCGGGAGCCCGCGCCGCGCGCAGCTGCTGGGAGCAGGCCCGCGCGCCACAAAGCGCGCACCTTGCCATGAGAAGCGCGACCTGGAGCCTTCAAGCGAGACTCGCGCACTAACACAGCTGCCATGCGCTTCCGTTCTTGTAGCCCACGTGGCCCGCTGCCTACCAACTCGCGCCAACTTTTGCGCGCGCGACTGGAAACCTGGAGCGTCAGCGCCCGCGCGAAACGTGAGATGGGCCGCCTCGCCCTCTGCGAGCTGGCAAAGCATCTTGACTTGTCAATTTGAACGATAAGACCAGATGGTACAACTCCATTCGCGAACCATTTGACTGCCAGAAATAAAGAGGCTGCTTGACTCCAATTATTCCCAGTCCACTGGAAGCGAACGTCGTCCATGAGCGCACGAGGACCGACATCGGTAAACCTCCTCCTCGCACTGGCAAGGACGCTGAACAGCAACAGCTGGACCATCGCACCAGCATGACGGCAGCCCACCAGGATCCCTCGACATGACCGACAGGTGGTCGATCGTGGTCCAGGCGCCCTAATGCTCCGCGGTGCATGGCACGTCGAGAGTAGCACACGTGCCAACCTCGCGGGGACATGTAGCTGTCGGGCGTGGTCGAGCAAAACATGGAGCCGATAGGTTCCGAAACGCTTGCAGGCGTCAATGAGAATGCTGACCGCACCATGCCCGCGCGACGCCGCCACCTTCGCCGCCCGGCCGCGCCGCAAAGCCGCGCCCGTAGATGCGGCGCCAGCCCTGGCACCCCAGCACGAAACTGACGCGTTCCGAAGCTCCCGAGCCTTGGAAACTGGCCTGCGGAGCCACCTCCACATTCTGATGAGTGCGCTGGTCAACGCAATAAGTCTGCGCCCGTCGCCTGGCTCGGGCAGTCGGGCGAAGATCGCGCCCAATCTGTCGCCGGGCCAACAGCACAGACTTCCGCATTTCATGAACGACTCACCAACGGCAATGAAACCAACATCTGGGAAGCGTTCGACAGCACGCGGCTGAAAGTTCACCCGCCTGAGCCCCGTCTGCAACTTGCCCGCGAATGGCGCGCCTGACCTTTCAAGCGCTCATGGCAGGCGACTGACCCCACTGCTGCACATCAGGCGGTCTCGGCAACTGCCCGCCGCCGCGAACGGTCCAGATATCCTTCCAGAAACCGAAGCATTCGCCCGCCATCTAATACGGCCGCGGGCGGGCATCTGCGTTATCTAGCACTTCTTGCAACGCCGCGCCCTTGGAGCATCGACGAGCAAGACGAACGCCAGCGGCAAAGCCTGCTGCGCCCACTGGCCCCATGAGGCAACGCCGACATGCGCGGCGGCGGCAGTGACGGCATCGACCTCGCGCGAGACAGCGCCCGCGGTGTCCTGGAAGCCACTCGAGCAGAACGCGCCGGCAACACCTGCAATCAAACGCTGCTCAGAAGCATCGACCAACTCAGATACCCTCTTGGCTTTGGAAAGACTTGCGAAGAAACCATGCAAATCCAACGCCAACTTTGCCACGGGCGCCCGTCCTCCGCCAGCCTCGCCGCCGCGCTGCCCGCGCAGACCAGTCAACGCGGGCATGAGACGAGGGGGAAATTGAGCGTAGTCGCGCGCAACATCCATGGTCCTCACAAGACAAGTAAGCATGCAAACGTAGTTCGCACGCATGCGTCTGAAGCATGTGCCCCGCACTTTGCAGGCCAAGAGCCTTCGCGGCGGCGACGTATGAATCGCCTGCAACTTCTTCCAGGTCCACTGAGCAGGCCCAGCCTCCCATGGCACAGTCTTCTGCGAACTGGCATGACAACATCAGGACGACTCAATAACTCATGCTCGACCCCACAAACAACTCCACCCCATGCCACGCGACAGCCAATGACTTCTCGTCGTGGGCGTCGGAGATGAGCTGCGCGACGTTACTCCACGTGGCACATGGCGGGCGCGGCGCGCATCCAGGTCTTGGAATGGCGTCGAGCTGTCTTGGCTCGGCTGGCACACGCGCGCCAAATAGCATGGCCCGAAAGGCCCATGCCCACCTTGACGGGGAGGCGGGGAAACGTCGCGACGTCATCGATGACCTCGCAGGTTCGCGCCCACTGGGCGAGTGAAGTGGACGCACAGGAATAATCCCGAGCGGCACCTGGCCTGGCAATAAAACACGCGGGCCCAGGAGCGCGGCAACATGGGCTATGCGCAGATTCCACCCATCCGAAAACAGAGGAGAGCGCCGGAGGAGGACGAAGAAGGAGGAAGAGGAGAAGGAGGAGGAGGAGGAGGAGCGGGGGAAAAGGGAAGAAGAGGAGCAACGCCAGGAACTACAGCCGTCGCGCAGAAATGAAATCTGCGGGCCCAACGGGCCAGAGGCGCGCTGAGATCTCCGGCAACTGGTCACACATATGTTTAGTGCGCGCGCGAAACGGCCCCCAGGGGGGCCCTGGACAGTAGCGCCCTGGCCAAGTCGGCTAAGAGATGACCCCCCCCTGGGCGCCGCCCTGCAGGCGCCCCAGAGCGCGCCAAGAAGATCCCAAGAAGCCCCCAAGACGGTCCAAGAGGGCCCCGAGTCGGCGTCCGATCCGCCCCAGACACCGAAGATAGCCTCCAGACGGCAGAAGACGCCTCCAAAGCCGCTCCAAGGAGCCCCCAAGAGGCCCCAGGAGGCCCCAA